GCTTCCATGGCTCTCCCGATGGAATCACCAGGATGTGCTTAATCCCTCCTGCAACCAGTTGTGACAACAGGTGAAATGTCTATCAGCGACTCTCAGATAATCACACTCTGCCTGACAAGTACCAAAGTTTCAGGTTCCCAAAAGGAGAGCAGTCATCCACCATAAACCACAGCTCACACAAGTGGTTTCGGCACAGTAAGCTGTCTCAGTAGGGAATGGTGAGAATCCACCCAATTCTAGCTTCCCAGATGCCAGCCAAGGGCCAGCCTTGCAGGCAGGCTTTTGTCTTGGGTCTGCTATGTTCATTCTTTTCTGTACAGTTAAAGGGTAAGGAGGGGAGGGGAGAAACAGAGACTGTGTCACAGGGACCCATCTAGACCATGGACTTGATCTTGGGGTGACAGAGCCACCAATGGGTGATAAGCTACAGGCAGGTGGCCAAGTCCAGCCTATGCTTAAGGATGGAGGAAGGGACCCATGAAAGAGTCACCTTGAGGCCCTGGCCATGGGGACCCTTTAGAGCCCTGTGTTCCCCCTGGGGCATAAATGTCTTGCTAAGTTGTAAGACATTTGTCTTGCTTTCTTTTCTGGGGACAGAGTCTTGCTCTATCACCCCAGCTAGAGTGCAGTGGTGGCATCAAAGCTCACTGCAGCCTCCAAGTCTTGGGCTAAAAAGATCCTCCTGCTTCAGTCCCCCAAGCAGCTGGGTCTACAGGCATGCACGACCATGCCTGGCCAATTTTTAAATTTTTGATAGAGACAGGGGTCTCACTATGTTGTCCAGGCTGGTCTTGAACGCCTGGCCTCAAGTGATCCTCCCACTTCAGTCTTCCAAAGTGCTGGGATTATAGGCACAAGCCATGGTACCTGGCCATGATCTGCTCATTTGGCTGCCTTCTCCGCCAGACAGTAGTCTCCTAGAGAGCAGGGGCCATGTCTTACTTTGGCAGAGCAGGCATATTATAAGCATTCACTAAATAAATAAATGCTGGGAGGCACCCGTGGCTCAGTGAGTAGGGCGCCGGCCCCATATACTGAGGGTGGCGGGTTCAAACCCAGCCCCAGCCAAACTGCAACAAAAAGTAGCCGGGCATTGTGGCGGGTGCCTGTAGTCCCAGCTACTTGGGAGGCTGAGGCAGAAGAATCGCCTAAGCCCAGGAGTTGGAGGTTGCTGTGAGCTGTGACTCCGCTGCACTCTACCGAGGGCGAAAAAGCAAGACTCTGTCTCTACAAAATAAATAAATAAATAAATAAATGCTTATAAATAAAAATATAATCAGCCTTGATTGAGCACTTACCCAGGCCCAGACTCTATACTAAGGTCCTGTACATTAATATCATCCCCATTTGACAGATGAGGACATTGAGGTTATAAAATGTCAAACAACTTGCCCAAGTTGCTCAGCATCTGAGTCTCAAGCTGGACCACTGGTGCAGCAACATCCCTATGGGAGGTGGAGCAGCTGGTGAGTGTGGAGTGTGTCAGAGGCTGAGAGTTAGTTTCCAAGAGGAAAGACCTTCCACAGACATCTAGCAAGTCCAGGGATTCTCACCACGGACCCATGTCCTATGGGCCCCAGCACTGCCCTCTCTGAGCCTCACAGCCTTCCTCTGAGCACACAGCCCCCTACAGGCAGCATACACCAGGCCGGGCACTGCACAGGGGGTGTTAGTGACCATGAGTGATAACTGGAGTTTACACATGAGAGCCAGACATCAGCCTGTCAGACCCTCATGCCATCCTCTGGGGCCCTGAGTGACCATTATTCCTGTTTGAGAACACAGTGTGACAAGTGTTTCTGTCTTAGGAACGTGGGAACAGGAAAGCCTTCACTGAAGAAGAGAGTGTCCTTGAAAGATCAGTAGAATTTCATCAGGCAGAAGGAGAAAAGGGCATCTCCGTCCAGAGCACACGCTGAGCTGGGGCTTGGGAGTGAGAGGCCTCAGGGTGTGGCCATGGGAGTGTAAGTGAGGTCCGCAGCGGGGCGAAGCCACACCAGGAAGTCGGTGATTGAAGATAGGGAAGCTCCAGCCAAGCACTTGGTTGATGTGCATTTATTGAGCATTTATTAGGAGCCAAGCACCATAACAGGTGTGGAGGGACAGAGATGACTAAGGCACAGTCATCCACTAGAGTCTGGGCCAATCTCGGCATGCCTGGGTTACCCTCAGTCAGGAACCCATATTCTGTCCCTGGCACCCTGGCTGACCCACTTTGTAACCAGAATCCAGCTCCTTTCCCTCCTCAGACTGGACTTCTTCCATAAAAAGAGCGTAACTGCCCTTGTCAACTGGTGATGGAGCTCTTTGAGCCCTTAGGATGAAAGATTCTGTAAATACAGAGCCTTGTCACTGCACTGGGTGGGGTGAGGTAGAGAGCCCACATCAGATCCCCAAGAATGCAGAGAAACAGCCCCTGGGAATCAAGAGGCACCAAGCTGCTCTGAGGTCACCACCCACTGACAGCTGCCAAGTGTGTTCCCACAGCCAGAAAGCCTGACATGAAAGTCCCCCACCCCCGGCGAGGTCTGCCTGTGATGGTTAAATGACAGACGCCAACACCCTGGCTGCTAACTGATGCCAACAGGAGGGAGGGAGAAGTGGAGGTGGCTTTGGTTGCAGGGAGGTTACTGGAAGCTTTCCCCTCACTCTTGTGTTTACTGGACACAAACACACTAAGGAACCACTATGGACCTGTCACTTGCCCAGGGTCCATGGAGGAGGTGGACAGGCACATAGCTCATTTCACCTCCACATGCAGTGTTACAGAGGAAGCCTGGTCTCTAGCAGCACAGAGAAGCCCATCTGACATTGACAAGACAGACCAGGGGCCCAACCCCTTTCTTCCCCACTCAAAAAAAAAAAAAAAAAAAAGAACAACCACAGGAGGCAAAAGCCCTTTGTGACTGAACAGTATTTGAAGTTCTTCCACATTCCCTTACTCATTTGACATGTGCGAATGAAAGGCCAGAGAGCTAGTTGATTTGTCCAAGGTCACAGAACCAACTGCCATGAAGAGAAGACAGTCATAATTATTCTCATTCCTTGGCTTGTGGCTGCATCGTCCCATCTCTGTCTCCATGGCCACATCCCCCTCTCCTCTTCTGCTCTGCCTCTCTCTTTCAAAAGGATACTTGTGATTACATTTAGGGCTCATTGTGATAAGACAGGATAATCTTCATTTCAAAATCTTTAATCACATCAGCAAAGTCTCCCCAGTTAGGAAACCATTCATAGATTCCCAGGATTAGTATCTACTACCTGTGGGGACCAGTATTTCACCTGCTCCAGGCCCATGGAGGCAGCATAGTGTGAAAGGGGCATGGATGGGCTTTGTGTACCCTCCTTGCTTGCTGAACCAGCATCCTGGGACAGGGTTCTGCCTGCTGAGACCCTTGGAGAGGAGGGAGTCAGGCTCAGCAGTGGAGGTGGTAGAATGTGGAGACTCCACTAGAAGTGGTTAGGATAGAATCAGAGAATTAAGGACCCTGGTGATGAGAAGGAATCAAGAGAGGACCTCTTCCCTACCCACACGCTACCCCTAAATCTGATTTAAATTGTCATTTCAGTCCCACATTGAGCAGATACTCAGACAGGAGCCAGACTGTACCAGTCCCTGTGAGCCAGCCCTGGTCCTCATGGAGTCTAAACTCAAGAGTAACACCCACTAGCACTGTTGTCGCTAGGATGCTGTAAGGGCAGGTGGTGCCCCTCTTTTTAGGTGGGGTAGTGGAGGCCCAGGAATGGGACTGTTTTTGTCTGGAGTTGGGCTGGAGCCAACTAAGTTTTGCATTTCTTCACCCCCTAACCCCAGCACCTTCCTGCACCTCAGTGATTTTGTCATTTCTTGTCTTATTTCCTCTTGGCACTTTAAAAGTGTGATACTCTGTTTCATCTTCCGGGAAGATGGAAGATGAAAGTTCTTGCAGAACTTGCACAGGAAGTGACTCCTTGCATACTGTGCATTTGCCTGAACAGCTGGCGGGTGGGGAGCAGGACCCCTGGAGTCAGGCAGCATTGCATGCAAATACTGAACACTCGGTCCAAGTCTGAGTAAGGCAGAAGAAAAAGCTGCCAGCCTTTGCCTGCTTCCAACACAATTAAGGCAAACTCCCTCTTTAAAACAAAGGGCACTCGTGTAATTTGGGTACTCTGGGTAAAGAGCTAGAAGGGCCAGAGCCTTGCGCTTGTTTGGAATCCCTAAATTAACCCTAAATTGGAAAGAATGCCGGTTTGGATGTGAACAGGATCTTCTAAGCTCAGTTTTATCTTTCTTTGTGGCTTTGGGAAAATCACTTAAAACTTCTATGCACCTGTTTTCTTGTCTGTAAAATGGGTGTAGAGACAGCGGGTTCCTAGGACAATCAACCAAGTGCCTCGCATTTAGCAAGCCTTCAAGAAACTTTACCCAAAGCTCACTAAGGTCTACCCGCGCTATCCTTGGGGTGGGCCCCCACCTTTCATTCTGGCCATCTCAGGAAGGTGGTGTCCCCTAGTCACCCAATTCCTTTAAGGCCCTGGTACCCAGCCTTGCTCTCAGCCTTGCTGGCTCACAGCAGGGGTGCGCTTGTGGGAGCGCTTGGAATAGTCTTGGTGTTTTGCTCCATCAGACCAGGAATCCAATGTGCACCAGGCCCCAGTGCAGTCTCCAGTGGAGTCCTCCCGCGTCAGGGGTTGGAACCCACCCCGCGCCTCCCACACGCAGATTGCTGGGCTGGGCTCGCCAGGACGCCCGGCCCACGCGGGGGGCGGGACGAGCCGGAGCCTTTGTGTTCAAACTGGCCTATAGGTGACGGCCGTGGGCGGTGACGGCAGGCGGGGTCTGGCCAATGGGCTGCGGCCTGTCAGCGTTGACTGACAGGCGCACACATACACACTCGGCCACGCGCGCGCCGCCGGGCCCCACTCGCGCTGCGCGGGCCTCAGCCGGTCGCATTGTCCACAAGCCTCGCGTTGTCCCGCGAAGCTGCTCTCCACGCTTCCCCGCGCTCCGGCTCTGACCCGGCCACCGCCTCGGCCCTGTGCTCAGCGCCACCCGCTGGACCCCGACGCGGGAAAGGGGCGCGCCCGGGCGGCGCGGCGGGCCTCGGACGCCCCCGGGCCGGCACGGAGAAGCAGCGGTAGCAGGTAACTGTGGGCCGGCGGACTGGGCTCCGGGGTGAGCCTGCCTCACCGCAGGCCCTGGCCCGGCCTAACTCCAGGGTTACCGACAGGCCGCTCCAGTCAGGGCCGACCTGCTGGGCCTGCTTCTTCCTCTCCCGGGCTACTGGGGCTGGGCTTCAGCCCAGTCCCGTGCACGCCCCTGGGCCAGTCGGAAAGGGCCAGCGCGGTGCCAAGGCCGGCGCCCTGACTCATCTCCCCGCCGGCACCGCCCCTAGGGCTGGCCTCCCCACTGGTCAGCCGGGAGGGCGGTGTCTACAGGCGGGAGTTCCCGGAGCACCCTCCCGGGAGGAGGGGAGCAAAGACTCGGCTGTCCCAAACCGGCCCTGGGCAGTGCCTACGGTTTCTGTGCCAGGCGGGCGGTTTCCCAGGACAAGCAGTTCCCAGCCTCTGCCGCGCCTGTCAGAACTCTGGATAGGAGGGAGGCCCGTTTCGTTCAGTTCTAAAACAAAACAAAACAAAGCAAATGGGGGGCGGGGTGTGACTTAGAGCGAGAGGCTGGAAGGCGAGCCTTTGGCGACAGTTTCTGCAGGTTCAACCCTGAGGAGTTGCGGGGGTGGGGGGAGTAGCACCCAGAGCGTTTGGCGGCTCTCACTAGAGATGTAGTGTGACTGCGGCGCCTGGGGAGTGAAAATGTCAGGAAGAAGAGGCCCAAGATCTAGGTTAAGTCTGGGGTGTGCACGGATACTGCCATATAGTCTGTGAGGGAAAGAGGGGGGTGGAATTGTGAGAAAAGGATGTAGTTCAGCTCAGAAGGGGAGAAGGGTTTCATCTGAGGGTTTCTTAAGTGACTTGTGTGAGTGCGGGAGGAGATCTGTTCTGATACGCCAAAGATTTGAGTTCCCCAAGAAGTTCTCTTGTTTTGGAGAATGGGGCCTCCACCTTCTTCATCTGTGAAACCCAGGCTCAGTGGTAAATTGTTTTGTGGTATCAGGACCCTGCAAGAAAGACGAAGAGGCGTGCCTGGGAGTTCTGGGAGGGTGGAGGCGGGTGCTGACAGCTTTTAGCACCCACCACCACCTCTGGCAGAGTATTTAGATTTTTAGCAGCAGCAGCTTGGGTAGGTGTAAACATGTTGCAGGGGTTAAGAGGAAGAGCCCTATGTGGATATCTGTAGCTTGCGGGTGGGGGCCATTGTGGGGGTGGCATTACCTTATAAGGAGTGGAATATAGACTAGGACCTGAGCCAACTTCCTGGTTTGGCTACTACCCGTTGGTCCCTTTACCAACATAGGCAAAAACCTGGGAGGGTTGCCAGATGGGCACCCTACCTGGGAAGAAGCCAATAAGGGCAAAACGTGAGGCTACTTGTTTTTCAGAAGAGGACTTTCCAGCTGTACTAGCCAGACTTTCTGGTTCCTATAGTCTGGGTTGGGATGTGTTAGTCTATACCAGTGGTCCTAATGCCACGACCCTTTAATACAATTCCTCATGTTGTGGTGACCCCTAACCATAAAATTATTTTCATTGCTACTTCATAACTGTAATTTTGTGACTGTTATGAATCGTAATGTAAATATCTGATATGCAGGATGGTCTTAGGCGACCCCTGTGAAAGGGTTGTTCGACCCCCAAAGGGGTCACGACCCACAGGTTGAGAACCACTAGTCTATGCCCACCATACAACCCAGAGAACTAGTAATTTTAAGTATTAATAAAAAATATTAGAAGTAATAAAAAGCCACAAGAACTAGGAACTCTTGAGTATGCTTAGGATAACAATGACTTTGTGATATAGGCCAGCAAAGGAGATTTTGAATTTAGGTTGCTAGAGCTGAAATGTTATTAATCTTTTTGTGTCAGAGAAGGCCACCTTTGGCCATATCTTTTCACTTTGGCTTCCTTTATCCCCAAGTATCAATTCCAGAGCCTTGATTTCCGCCCCTTGTGGTGATGGGGACTGACTGTAATTCCATACTGTGCTCCACCTCCGTTTTGTTAGTTTGGTTACGAATATTTGTTGTACGCACAGCCTCCTTCGGAGTGTATGTGGGCTAGAAGAAACTCTAGTTAGGGATACTCAACACATTCCTGAAACAACTCAAAAACTTCATGGCCTTGTAGGCTTTCAGATCTGAGGTCAAACCCTGGCTTCTGGCTCTGTCACTCACAGGCTGGGTGACTGTGGGCAAGTGCCAATCATCTCAGAGTCTAGCTGGGATCACTGATACCTTCCTCACTTGTAAGGATCAGAAATGGGTGCGTAAGGACCCTGGTACCTGGTAGGCTTCTATCCAAGTATTTTCTCATCATCATCATCTTATTAGGACATGGTAGCACAATGTGCACCAAGGAGACCTAAAATACAGCCACCATCAGAACATAGCTGGGGTGTGCTGGGGGAAGTTTTTCTGGAGTCAAGGTTCACCTGGGCCCTGAAACAACAAAGACAGCAGAGGCAAGCACTTATTGTCTAAAGGAAACAGCTAGAGTGAGACTGGATCCAGTTCTAGGGAGACAACAGGCAAGACAGATGCACGGGAGGGTGTGCAGGGTGGGGACTGAAGGCATTTTAGTGCCTCCATGGGCTTCATTCTCTGCTGCTTGTCAGAGGTTGAGGAAGGCCCAGTTCTGGCTCACACAGAGCCCAGCACCAAGGAGGAAAGAGATAAGGAGACTGAAAATTAGAAAACCTGTGGAAGGTTCCCTGGAAGAGGCTGTGTGATCACTAAGTGAGCCCATAGGCCGGGCATGGGTGGCAGTGGGTGTGCGGCCTGGAGAAACCTCACAAATCCCCACCACACTGCCTCTCTGCCCGTCCAGACGCAGTGCCTCATCTCTCCTCCTCCTAGGGTGACCTGGGGACAGCCCCAAGCTTCACTTGTGTTCCTCTTCTCTCTCCCAAAACCTTCAGGGAAAGGGTCCATATCCCACCTCATCATGTCCCGAAGAAGCCAGCGGCTCACACGCTACTCCCAGGGTGACGATGATGGCAACAGTAGCAGTGGAGGGAGCTCAGTCACCGGGAGCCATAACAGCCTGTTTAAAGACAGTCCTCTCAGGTAGGGACGCAAGGGATTAGGATTGTCACAGCCCCTGTAGATCGCACCACCCTGCAGAGCAGGTGACTTCCTGTTGTGACCTTCAAGTCCAATCAAGGGGGTTCTGCCTTTCTTCTCTTCTATGAGGATGGCAGTCTCAGTGCCATTTCTCCTCTCCCTCCTGTAAGACAGTGCTGCTGCCCTCAGGGCTAGAGGACAGGAAGTGGGGAGAGGCAGCTGCAAGCTTAGGGCAGGCCGGAAGCCCCAAAGTTGCTAGCTGGGTTCACAGGAACCTCTTCTGCTCTAGAGGGTCAGGTTGATTTGACCATCCTTCCTGGGCCCACGCCTGTGTGTCTCAACACCTGTCAGGCCACAGAAGCTGGCCAGAGCCACAGCTGAGGAAAGGAACAAGTCCCCAGGGTGCTGGCAGACAGGCTGAGGGAGGGCAACTGCCTGCTTGTTCTATCACCACCCCTTGTAGTTATAAGGCCCAGGTTATAGGCCCTGCAGTTTGGCTGGCTCTAGGAGGCCACACCAAGTGTGGTGAGGTTTTCAGTGGGCTGTAAAAATTACTAAGCCATTAAGAAGCGTGGGAAGAGGCTCGGCGCCTATAGCTCAACCGGCTAAGGGGCCAGCCACGTACACCTAAGGTGGCGGGTTTGAATCCCCAGCCCAGACCCGCCAAACAACAATGATGGCTGCAACCAAAAAATAGCCGGGCGTTGTGGCGGGCGCCTGTGGTCCCAGCTACTTGGGAGGCGGAGGCAAGAGACTCGCTTGAGCCCAGGAGTTGGAGGTTGCTGTGAGCTGTAATGCCACGGCACTCTACCCAGGGGGACAGCTTGAGGCTCTGTCTCAAAAAAAAAAAAAAAAAAAAGAAGCGTGGGAAGAAGCTTTGGCTTTGAAGTTAGAGACTTGGGTTGGAATCCTGGCTCCATCCCTAACTGCTGCCCTTGCCTATCTGCTTGTAAGATTCACAGATAAAAGGAGCAGAGGCAGTGCATGCCTGGGGCAATGGGGGAGATGGGAGCTCTAGCTGCCTAACAGCAGGATCTCAGTGTCCCACTGGGCTCACCCCCCTGCTCTCCCTGGGGATTGTCCCACAGGACCTTGAAGAGGAAATCCAGCAACATGAAGCGCCTGTCCCCAGCACCACAGCTGGGCCCCTCCTCCGATGCCCACACCTCCTACTACAGCGAGTCCATGGTCCAGGAGTCCTGCATAGGCAATCCCCGGGCAGCATTGCTGGCCCGGAACGCCCTCCTCCATGACTTGCATAGTGACTCCTACTGGAGTGAGTATGGAATCTTTCTCTCTGGGCTTTGCTTCCTCTGAGATGCTCCTGGGAGTGTGGGGTTGGGGGGGGGCACACTCTGGAATACCCTCCTTGGAGTGCCTCTCTGCCCAGACCTAACTTTGCAGAGCCTCTTTGAGGTCCAGAAGGGCCCCTTGTTCTTCCCTGCACAGGTGAGGACCTGCGGGTGAGAAGGAGGAGAGGCACAGGCGGCACTGAGAGCAGCAAGGTCAACGGGCTCACTGAGGGCAAGGTCTCTGAGGACTTCCTTGGCTCTTCCTCAGGCTACTCCTCTGAGGATGACTTCATGGGTAGGCAGTGCTTTCTCCCTCCTGAGCAGGTCCTGTGGCTGTGGGGGGCCCACAAGAAGCCTGAGTAAGGAGTACCCTGGTAGCTTTAAGGAACATGGTAGGTGGCAGACACTTCAGCATCTCCCTGGGGCATCCCACCTGTGTAGGAACCCATGCAGGGGCCTACGGTGGCTTCCACTCCCTGGGTTGTGACTGCTGCTCACTTCTCTGCCTGCCCCACTGTTGTGTTTGGGATTATTTCCAGCACTTTAACATGGGGCTTCACACATAGTAGGTGGTCAGTAATTCTTTGTGAAATACATGTCTGACCCCTTAGATCAGGGGTCCTCAAACTTTTTAAACAGGGGGCCAGTTCACTGTCCCTCAGACCATTGGAGGGCAAGACTGTGGGCCCTGGGACAAGTTGGCTGCTAAGCAGGACAGACAGTGGCAGGAAAAACACCTAGCAGGCCGGATAAATGTCCTAGGCAGGCTGCATGTGGCCTGCAGGCTGTAGTTTGAGGACACCTGCTTAGATGATCTGTGGTCTGAGCTCACAGAAGACAGTGAAGAAAGAAGAGACAGTCTCCATATAACATGGCTTGAAAGAGATGACAGGCTTGGTGCCTGTAGCCCAGCAGCTAGGGTGCCAGCCACATACACCAGAGCTGGCAGGTTCGAACATAGCCTGGGCCTGCCAAACAATGACAACTACAACAAAAAATAGCCAGTGTTGTGGCAGGCACCTGTAGTCCCAGCTACTTAGGAGGGTGAGGCAAGAGGATCACTTAAGCCCAAGAGTTTGAGATTGCTGTGATGCCAAGGCACTCTAGTCAGGGCAGCATAGCATGACTCTGTCTCAAAAAAAAAAAAAGAAAGAAAGAAAGAGAGGACAAACTGAGCTGGTTCCCCTTCCTCTTTCCTGCAGGCTACTCAGATACAGACCAACAGAACCCAGGTTCACGGTTAAGGAGTGCTGTCTCTCGGTTGGGCTCCTTCTTCTGGATGGTGGTCACTTTTCCAGGTGGGTGCTGCCTAAGCTGTTCTCAGCCTCTTCCATTCTTTACAGCAGTAATTCTTACCTATCTTTCTGTAGTTGAGCACACAGCTCACACAGAGAGACTGGAGGACCATCAGGGAAAGTACATTCTGAAATAATTTCTGTGAGCCCAGAGCCTGAGATAGACCAGCTGCAGAACAGGACAGAGGGCATGGACAGTGTGGGCAGGTGGGACCAGAGGGACTAGGTCACTGTGGGACAGGACACAAACATGGCCAGTGAGTGCTAGGGTGGGGGTAGGGAAGATCACAGATGGGTGAGAGAGTGATGCTCCCGACCACAATGTGAAGACTTAGGTTTGATGGTCACTTTCCTAGGCCGGCTCTTTGGACTTCTCTACTGGTGGATTGGCACCACTTGGTACCGCCTGACAACAGCTGCCTCCCTTCTTGACGTCTTTGTTTTAACCAGGTGAGTGAACCTCCAGCCTTCACAATGAATCAGAAAGTCCTAGGCCCAAAGGGGAGGGTCATCTCTCTGAAGGTTCTTCCCTGTTCATTTGGAGCTGCTGTCAGTGAGCATGGAGTGGCCTCCATAGAGCCCACCTCCCCTGACAGAGGACAAGACTCAGAGTCAGGGTTTGCTCCCCAAATCAATAACTTCAGGGCAGTAACCTAGAACAGGGGTTCTTATTTCTTCTCGAACACTTACTACCAAATGCCACCCCAATTCAGCCACTTAGGATTCTCAGGTAATGGGTGGCTTTCTTCCTGCTAGTTAGAACTGTATGCTCTAGCCAAGAGGTGGGGTTTCCCAGAAAGTCCATCTTCCCTGTCATGCCTAAAAGAGCATAGACCTCCAGAGCTCTCCCCTTTATGGTAAGAAGCCACAAAGATGCTCTGCCTAAGGATGCTGTGGGTTAGTTCTCTAAGTCTCTAAACCAGCAGAACCAGGATTTGGGAACTTACCCCTGGGCAGAGGAAGGAAGATTGAACCAAGAAGTCAGAATCCTTCTGGCCACAATCTAGGTCTGGGTAGGCAATCAGGGTTTGCTGAGAAACAGTGGGGAGACAAGGATAGATTTGTATCTCTAAAAAAAATTCCTTGTTTTCCTAAAAGAAAATATTGTCTGAAGAGTTACTTTGTTTTTCTATATTTGCTTACTTAGGGGACCACTAAAAAATTTAGGGTTCTTCAAAGACCATACTATTTTTATTTATTTATTTATTTTAGAGACAGAGTCTCACTTTACCACCCTCAATAGAATGCTGTGGCGTCACAGCTCACAGCAACCTTCAGCTCTTGGCTTAGGCGATTCTCTTGCCCCAGCTCCCCGAGTAGCTGGGACTATAGGCACCCGCCACAACGCCCAGCTATTTTTTGTTGCAGTTTGGCCAGGGCTGGATTTGAACCTGCCCCCCTTGGTATATGGGGCTGGTGCCCTGCTCACTGAGCCACAGGGGCCACTCCCTCACACTATTTATTTTTAATAGCATCAATAAAATTCACAATCGAGCAGCACCTGTACTCAGTGGGTAGGGCGCTGGCCACATGCACCAGGGTTGGTGGGTTCGAACCCAGCCCCAACCTGCTAAAAACAAACAAACAAAAATACCCGGGCATTGTGGCAGGTGCCTGTAGTTCCAGCTACTCAAGAGGCTGAGGCAAAAGAATCACTTAAGCCCAAGAGTTGGAGGTTGCTGTGAGCTGTGACTCCAGGATACTCTACCGAGGGCAACAAAGTAAGACTGTCTCAATAAAAATAAATAAATAAATAAAAATAAATAAAATTCACAATCAAAATTGTCCCCATTGCTCAAGGCCTGCAGTACCGGTAAGGCTCTGAAGCATCCTGTCTGGCCCCATCATAAGCCCATGGGTGCCCCCTTAGCTCGTTTGGCACTCAGGAAAAAATTGTGAGGGACTCCCTGGGAGAACATAGAGGTTTGTGGTTCCTGTTCACATCTCTGCCTCCTTGTCCTGCCCTCCCTTGGGCTCCAGGCGTTTCTCATCCCTGAAGACATTCCTCTGGTTCCTGCTGTTGCTGCTGTTTCTGACCTGCCTGACATATGGTGAGTCTGAATGCTGGGGCGAGTGTGGGGGTAGAATGTAGCAGGCACTGGCACTCAGCAGAGATGTGCATAGCATGTGGGTGGTGACCCTTGGCAGACAGGGAGGGAAGCAGGATGGGGAGGCAGGGACAGACTAAGCCTGGGCAGTGCCTGAGCCCCAGGCCTGGGCCTGCCTTGCATAGCTTGCCCTGCCTGGGTCCTCTCCTGACTGAGGCTGCCCCTGCTCCAGGGTGTCCCAGGGGCAGAAAGATGAATGTCTCAGTCTATTGATCTTGCCCTAAGCTGGGTAGTCAGTGTACATCAGGGTGTCTCTGGAGTATCCTTTGTGCTACCCAGGGCAGGAACACACCCTAGCACAACAGTGTGTGGGAAAAGAGCAGGGTCACTGATGCCATCATTATTAGCAGTCATTCTCCCTGCATTCCAAATCAGGGATATAGGCTGTGTGGTAAATTATTTATACAAGATTAAGTTAAATCTTTAACTATCTTTAAGGTAAAAACAATAAAGTAAGATAGGCACAGTGGCTCACACCTGCAATCCTAGCACTCTGGGAAGGCTGAGGCGGGCAGATCACTTGAACTCAGGAGTTTGAGACTAGCCTGAACAAGAGAGAGAGAAAACCCATCTCTACTAAAAATAGAAAAATTAGCTATGGCTGAGCACCTGTAGTCCCAGCTTTTCTGGAGTCTGAGGCAGGGTTCCTTGAGCCCAGGAGTTTGAGGTTGCTGTGAGCTATGATGACACCACTGCACCCTACCCTGGGTGACAGAAGTAAGCGCCTCTTTTTATACAATAGCAGTTTTTTACTGTTCTAATCTCCAGCACAGACAAGTTTATAAAGACACTTCGTGTTCAGCTTTTCATTCAACAACTTGGTCAATTTTGTAATTCCATGAGAGCTGGCTCCTGGTTCAGTTTTTATGATTGTACCAGTTTATAGTTAAAGACTATAAAGACTGTGCTTGCTTTTCTTTTTAGAGAGTTGGTTTTATAAGTTTAACATCTATTCAACTTGAATATCTGCTATTATTAATAGGGCAGAATGTTTTTCCAAATGTTGGTTTCCTTTTTATGTTTCCTGTTGTAAGAACAGCTTGTTCGATCCAGTGGAAACTGGGCATCACCCGTAAAACAATAATAATACTTGACCAGGTGTGATGGCTCATGCCTATAATCCTAGCCCTCAGGGAGGCCAAGACAGGAGGATCACTTAAGCTCAGGAGTTTGACACCAGCCTAAGTGAGAGCAAGACCCTATCTCTACTATAGAAAAATTAGGCCATTGTGGCAATGACCTGTAGTCCCAGCTACCAGGGAGGCTGAGACAGGAGGATTGCCTGAGCCCAGGAGTTAGTGGTTGCTGTGAGCTTAGGCTGATGCCGTGGCACTCTAGCCTGGGCAAAAGAGTGAGGCTTTGTCTTGAAAATTGAAATGGTCCTTTATAACTATAGCATTTTATCCAGAAAGCACTTTCTCATGTGTTACAAGTTTAATTTGTGCTTCACCATGGCCTGGTGGGGTTGGTAGAACCAGGGTCATGATCATGTCATGTGGAGATGTGTGTGGAGAGTGATCTGCACAGGGAGAGCCTGAGTGAAGCCTGTGTCCGCATCAGACTCCAAGCCCAGTGAAGCCTATGCATCTCCTTGCACCTGCCAATAGTTGATGCTTAAGCAGCCATCGTGGAGTCTCACCAGGATAGAGAACCCTCAGTCAGTGTCTTTTTTAGGTTTTCTCCCTTTCCCCCATCACATGGAGCTCAAGAGTAAGCAGGTCACAAACAGATGGCCCCTATAGTGAGATCTAAGTGTCCCTGTGTGGATACAGCTTGGTGCTCTTGTTGTGGGGCTGCACGTGGTCTCACTTAGAAGGGAGGTGCCTTCTGTTCCAGAGATCCTCAGCCCTGTACCACATTAGGGCCACCTGGGGCACTTTTAAAACCCTCCATGCAGGGGCCCCAGGCCAGGGCAATTAACTGCCCTCTGGAGTTCCAGAGACTGGTGGTTTGAAAGCTCTGCAGGTGATGCTGATGGACAGCCTGGTCATCCCTAACTCCTTAAAGATGTTTTCTCCAAGTTTTGCCATTGACCGAGATGAAGGATTCTGAGGGGCTGGGGGTGTGTGAGAATGAATGTGCTCTGAGATTGTCAGGTGGAAGTTACCACCTCAGAGAATAGTGGGACCCTGCATCCCTGTATGCCCCCAGCAGACCCCAGCCTCTGGTGGGTGAACCAGACCCGGGTACCCAGCAGAGAGGAGGCTGCCACTCTCCTGGGCATGTGCCTCCTGCGAGCCCCTGGCCTGGGTAACCAGCCTCTTCCTGTGTGCAGGTGCTTGGTATTTCTACCCCTATGGACTGCAGACATTCCACCCTGCTGTGGTTTCCTGGTGGGCCGCAAAGGACAGCAGAACGCAGCAGGAGGGATGGGACTCCAGAGACTCACCACATTTCCAGGTGAGTGTCGCAGGGTGGGAGGCTCCCAAGGGTTTACAGACAGATGACAGTGAATGTGGCAGGCACTCCCTCAGCCTGCCTGAAACCTTACACACAAAGCTGAGGGATGCTGTCCTAGCTAGGATGTCCCTTTGTTACTATTTGGGGTGCAGGTTATGTGTGTGTGGGGGGGGTGTTGCCTGCACTTAAATATGACTCAAAACTATCCAAAAATTAGTTGACATCCCAAGAAGCACAGAAAACAAAAGGAAAAGGAATATGACAAATCATCTTGTCTACTTTATTCCTTTTCTTTTCTTTTTTCTTTTTGTAGAGTTTCACTCTATCACCCTCAGTAGAGTGCCATGGCATCACATAGCTCACAGCAACCTCCAACTCTTGGGCTTAGGCGATTCTCTTGCCTCAGCCTCCCGTATAGCTGGGACTACAGGCACCCACCACAATGCTCAGCTATTCTTTTTGTTGTTGCAGTTTGGCTGGGGTCAGGTTTGAACCCACCACCCTTGGTATATGGGGCCGGCACCCTACCCGCTGAGCCACAGGTGCTGCCCTGTTCCTTTTTAATACAATTTCACAAACATTTACTGAGCACGTCCTGTGAGTAAGGTAATATCCTGGACAGTGGATTAAAAGTACAAAGCATTTGATTAGCTTATGAATTTGTGGGTCATCTGGGTGGCACTTCTGGTCTGAACAAGGAAGGACCAGTGATCTTGGCCAGGCTCCCTGGTATGTGTGAGTATGACACAGATTATATATGTGTGTGTGTGTGTGTGTGTGTGTGTGTCCGCATGCAATTGACTGGTGAGTCAGTTGAGGGCTGGCTGATGTAGGCCCCTGCTTGGGACAGCTGTTCTCCATGTGCACTTTTGTCACTCAGCAGGCTAGCCTGGGCTTGTGCCCTTGTCCCTGGACAGGGTTCCAAGAGAGAACCAGGGCAGGCCAGATCTCTGGAGGTCTTCATTAGGAACCAGTGTGCTGTACCTTCTACCACATCCTACTAGCTGGAGCATATCTAAGAGCTAGTCCAGATGCCGGGTGGGGAAATAGACTCCACCTCTCAGTGGGGAAGGTGATGTTGCAGAGGGTGTGGACACAGGGAGAAAAGACAGACAGTGGCCATTTTTTTGATCTGCTGGAGTCTAAAGATGATCAGGCCCAGGCTGTGTTCTCAAGGAGCCTGCAGTCAGCACAACCAGAAGGTATATGAGCACAGGTCTTGGTGTTGACAAAAATTTAAAACTCTTTATCCTCTAATTATAGTTACTTGAACTGTGCTTGCATCTCACTGAAATTAATTTGCTTTCACATTTTTAACCATCTCTTTTTGTGGATATCACTTTCCTGACCGTGATCTTACACAGAAGCATCTGTGTAAGTTGACAGACCCAAGGGACTATAACAAACTGGTCAATATCTGCAGGTGGCCAACATGAGGAACTAGGACTACTGTACTGATATGTACATTTGGCATATGTCTAGTCTGGTCTATGAAAATTAGGTCAATTTAAGGAGATGGTCAATGTAGGGTTGGTCAGCTCTGGAGATTCTATATTGCATAAACTAATGATGCCTGTCATCTATGACTTCTGTTTTTAATCATTAAAGACATTAAATCCAATTCAATTTCAGAGCCACTTTCTCTGTAAAAAGTGGGAAGCAAAAAATGAATACATCTTGTATTTGCTTATGTTTACCTAAAGACACCAGTAAAGATAGTTGCCTGGTCTGGGAGAGGCAGTGGTAAGGACACTGGTTGGATGGGGCAGAGGTTAGGAGCCTAACTTTTTGCTGTGTTTGTGTGGTTTTTGAGTCAACAAATGTATTGCCTATTTAAAAAATGGAAATTCTTGCTTTTGGCTTTCAGCTCGGAGGAGGCAAAGGTACAACTTTCTTCGGTCATCCCAAATCTGGGTTCGTCTGACACTAGCCGCCTCCACCATGCCACCTATAATATAAAAAAATTAAGAATTAAATTTTAAAAAGTGGAAATTCTAAAAATCAGAACCTTTGCCACTCACCAGCTGCCTGCCCTTTAATTGACAGTTGACAGACTATATTTTATAATTTTTCTTGACAAAGATTTTGTTGTTAAGCCACAAAGTTCTCAAAATTTATGACATACTGTCAAATGCCACCCTCAAGTCCTAATGTCTTTTATTCTGTCTTCTCTGTGTAACATCCAGTTCAAGAGGAAAAAGAAAGTGTTTTCAAATTATTTTGTCTTTTAGCTGTAGTTACCTACAAGAAGGGAGTAAGCTGTTGGGAGTTGCTCTGTCGCACCTGTAGGAGGAAGGGAGGGGGTGGCTTCAGCCCAGCAGGTCACCCAGCCCCTTGTGGCTACCCTGCAACATCCCCAGCCTTTGTGTCTTCTTGGACTGTCCTTGCACTCAGACCTTCTCTGTGGCCTGCCTTCACTCCTCCTGGGAGATCAGACTCCCATACCATGTCCTCAGAGACACTCCTCTGCCTCCACCCTGCACACAGCACACCCAGCTCAGATCAGCCGTCCCCTGCCCACCTGCTGCAGCTGCCTAGCCCGGCATGTGCTCACCAGGTGCCCCTGGGATCCTTTCCTTTTCCCTGTTGGCTATGTCAGAGTGGTGTCTGAGAAGTGCTGTCATCTAAGGGTCTCTCATCCCTGTGGCTGTCTCTCCATACCCTGTCAGGCTGAGCAGCGTGTTCTGTCCCGGGTGCACTCTCTGGAGCGGCGTCTGGAAGCTCTTGCTGCTGAATTTTCCTCCAACTGGCAGAAGGAGGCCCTGCGCCTCGAACGCCTGGAGCTGCGGCAGGGGGCCGCTGGCCAGGGAGGTGGTGGTGACCTGAGCCATGAAGACACCCTGGCACTGCTGGAGGGGCTAGTGAGCCGCCGCGAGGCTGCCCTGAAGGATGACCTGCGCAGGGACACCACTGCCCGCATCCAGGTGGGGCCGAGTGCCTCAGGATGGGAGCTGAGTGTCGTGTGGGTGACACCCACGGGAGTGCAGGACAGTCAGCAGGTGGGGTGGAGCACACAGGAGAGAGAAAGCAGATATCATTTGGGATCGGACAGCTCCGCCATTTGGCAGCTACTTCCATCTCTAAACCTCAGTTTCCTCCTCTTTAAAATGGAGATTCTCATGTCTCCCTACCCCCACCCTCCATCGTGAGATGCCTGATCACAGGGCCCTGGCACAGCCCCCGCCACATGTAAGTGCGTGGAGGAGATGGAGTGGGGGTCATATGTGTTTCAGGAATGCACTATAGCAAAAAGGTCCAGAACTGAAGCTTTGGAAGCAAACAGACTTGGTTCCGGTTCTAATTATGCCATTTCCTAGTCATAAGGGCCCCTCCACACTTGGACTGTGCCTGATCTCCAGTCCACTCTTCATGTCTGACAGGAAGAACTGGCCGCCCTGAGAGCAGAGCACCAGCAAGACTCAGAAGACCTCTTCAAGAAGATCGTCCAAGCCTCCCAGGTGGGCAAGCTTGGGGACACTCGGGAGCTGCGATGGGATCCTGACCCAGTTCAGGGTGTTCTTGGTCAGAGAGAAATACCTTCAATTGCTTAGCCCTGCAGAAGGGCCTACTTTGATGCTGAGTAGGGTGGGGGTATGCAGTCCCTGACTTCTCGGCTGGAATGCCCTACAGAGATGCCCTAGGATGTGTTGGGGACAAAGCAGCCCATTGTGCCACGTGGCATGTGCTAGATGAATGGATGATGGACAAATGTCCAAGTGTGTCAGACACAGAGCAAGCCTCTTGTAAGGACTTTGACCAGGGGGGCATTTGCTGTAGGGAACAGGAGACCCTGGGGCCGGGATGCGGTTAAGCAAAGACCTAGTAAAGCAGATCCTACTCTGGGAGATGGATTTCTGAGCTTGGTGTTTTTTGTATTTGTCCCTCTTCCTACTGACAGGAGTCCGAGGCTCGTATCCATCAGCTGAAGTCAGAGTGGCAAAGGTAATGGATGCCGCCACTGGCCTAGGCCTGCTCCCCACCCTTCCCTACCTCACTCCCCAGGTAGGATTGGGGAGCAGAGCCCCAGAGCAAAGCTCTGATCCTGTGGCCAAGCAGAGAGGGGATGGTTGAAACCTAGCTCAGGACCTCTGCTCTTTGTCTTTGAGGTGCTGTGGAGGTTAGCAGGGAGTCACTGATGGCAGGAGGCAGGCACAGTGGTAGGACTGGGACTCATTTATAGAGATAGCATCTGTTCTTACAGCCTCATGTGGCTGTCTTATGCTCCAGATGTCATACTTGTCAAGGACATGAGAGCTGAGGCAGGGGAGATACCAACTCTGGGCTGAGAAAAGGAACAGGAGCAGAATTAGCTCCTTGGGGCAGGTGAGCCAGTTCCTAGACACCTATGCCGTGTTCTACAGCCAGGATCTCCAGCAGAGGCCTTGTCCCTCTCAAGTTTATGATGGGTGGTGGACACACACCCTCCTAACAGGGGCCAGCTAGGGGGTCTTTTTTCTTCCTCAGCATGGCCTTTCCTCCAACTAAAGAGATCCAGGGCTTAATCTTCTCTCTCGGGTCTAGGATGACCCAAGAGTCCTTCCAGGAGCACTTTGTGAAGGAGCTGGGGCGGCTGGAGGACCAGCTGGCGGGCTTGCGGCAGGAGCTGGCAGCCCTGACCCTGAAGCAGAGCTCAGTGGCAGATGAAGTGGGCCTGCTACCTCAGCAGATCCAGGCTGTACGGGATGATGTGAGTGCGAACACCCTTTCCTCTGAGACTTTTCTCCCTGGGCGTCTGCACAGCAGGTGCCTCTAGCCCCATGGGTTGGCTCTTCTTTGAGGATGTTCTTCCTGTTTTTCTGTCAATAATCATAGGGAGTTGCTCATAACTCTTTCTTCTGGTGGTTTCCTCCTTCCCTAATCCTGCTGCCAAGCTAAGCACTGCGTGTTTTGGGCCCTGGCCCTGCCATAACACCTTCTGCTGTATTTGCAAGCCTCCCAGGGTGACACTTTTTTGGTCTCTAGGTGGAATCTCAGTTCCCTGCCTGGATCAATCAGTTCCTTCTGCGAGGTGGAGGAACCCGCACTGGATTCCTTCAGAAAGAGGAGATGCAAGCTCAGCTGCAAGAGCTAGAAAACAGGATCCTCGCCCACATGGCAGAGATGCAGGGCAAGTCAGCCACGGAGGCTGCAGCCTCACTGGGACTGACGCTGCAGAAAGAAGGTGTGATCGGGGTGACAGAGGAGGTGAGGACCACGTGCCACCCCTCCCCAAACAAACACACACATGCCCGCACATGGCTGTCTTCCCTGGAAGCTACAGACCTGGCCAGTCCCATACTGCCAGCTCCTTGGTATGCCCCAGGACAGAAGTGCCATGCAGCAGGCTCTATATTTGAGGCCAGTATGGTGGGTGGACAATACCCATATCTGCCCAGGCACCAGCACAGTGAGAGTATAGGAGAGTCAATGTGGGGTACAGACGGACAAGTCTTCTTCCTGCCACAACCAGGCTCTGTGCCGTGTTTCAGCAGGTGCACCGCATCGTGAAGCAGGCCCTACAGCGCTATAGTGAGGACCGCATTGGCATGGTGGACTATGCCCTGGAATCAGGAGGTGTGTGTGCTGGTTCCCTGGCATGTGCCAGGGCAGCTGAGGTACTAAGCAAGCAGGATTTGGGGTCAGCAGAAACCCCCAACCCGGAACTTGCAACATAGGCATATAGTGGTGCAGGGGAGCAGCTGACAATGACAGCTGCTCAGGGGTCTGGGTTAAAGCTAGAGAGGAGGCCTGGGGTATCTGCCCTCCATCCTCACGAGGAGACAGGTAAAACCTGAGTGGGTTGTCTGGGTTCTCATCCCATGCGGGAGCCCACCCTGCCTTCCTGTCCCAGGAGCCAGTGTTATCAGCACCCGATGCTCCGAGACCTACGAGACCAAGACAGCACTCCTCAGCCTGTTTGGCATCCCGCTGTGGTACCACTCCCAGTCACCCCGGGTCATCCTCCAGGTGGGCACCCAGTAGGGACTACAGCAGGGCTCTGGGCACACTGAGGACTATCCTGCCCTGGAACCGGGAAAGCTGGATGCGGGCCCTGCCTTGACAAGATTTTTTGCTCCTCCAGCCAGATGTGCACCCAGGCAACTGCTGGGCCTTCCAAGGGCCCCAGGGCTTTGCAGTGGTGCGCCTTTCTGCCCGTATCCGCCTCACAGCTGTCACCTTAGAGCACGTCCCCAAGGCCTTGTCACCCAACAGTACCATCTCCAGTGCCCCTAAGGACTTTGCCATCTTTGTGAGTATCCACCTCATGGGGGCCAAGAGGGAGTGCAGGAAGACCCTGGGGGTCTCAACTGAGGGTCTAGTTGGGGGTCCCTCCTTGGCTGGGAGGGAGAGAGGGGATTAGGAAGAGGTGGAACCAGGGTGGAAGAGGGCACTTCAGGCTTTGGAGGAAGAAACTGAAACATGAGAGTTAAGTGACTTTCCACAGGCCACCTGCTACCTCAACCACTGGGTGGAGAGTGTTTCTCTCCCTGCTTGGCACTGCACCTCCCTTCTATCCCTCCACTCTCTTTTGCAGGGGTTTGATGAAGATCTGCAGCAGGAGGGGACACTTCTTGGCAAGTTCACCTATGATCAGGATGGCGAGCCCATTCAGACATTTTACTTTCAGGTACAGGATTCTAGTACCAGCACACTCACCTCCCATTTGGGCAACAGACGTTTCCCCAGCACTTACTCTGCCAGCCATAGGGTTCAGAGAGGGAAGACTCAGCCACTGCCCTCCACTCCCCTCCCACAAAGCAAGATATAGAACCAGAGATGACAACCAAATGAGGTGTAGATGCACCCTGCATATGTGAGCACAGGGGAGGGCACTTTCCAGAAGCGCAGCATCAGGGAAGCTTCAGGACAAAGCCCCCACAAAGGCAAGATTTATGAGAGAAGGGTTGGGGTTACTAGGAAAGGAAGGTTGTGAGGGGCGTTCTAGAAGGAGCCACCAGTGTGTGCTGGAGCACAGGCACTCCAGTTGGGCCAGCCAGGGCCTTAGGCAGTGTGTGGGGCTAAAACTTAAGTGAGTATTGGATCTCCTGGGCCCACTTTGGAAAGGCAGATTCCCATCCCAGAAGCATCTGATTCCTTAGGGCTGTCTCTAACCCAGAAGTGTCTGATTCCTTAGAGCTGATGGGACCCAGGAGCCTGCATTTGAACAAACCATCCAGATGGGTCCCAGGCAGGCAGCCAGGCCCTACTCTAGGGAAGTCTTGGTGTGAGGAATTGGGTGGAGCTGAGGGCATCTTGAGAATAGCCCAAAGGATAATGGCAGGAATTTCAGCCCTCCAGGCTGTGGGAGGTGACACTGCTCTGCTTTAGGTGACAACATGATGTCCATTTTAGTAAGGTCACTGGCCATGTATAAATGGTTGATGGAAGGAAGCAAACCTGAAGCCAGGGGAATTATCAGGAAGTGGTGGCAGGGAAGCTAGCAGAATAGATAGGTCAAGAGGGGGTGTTGGGGCTTGGCGCCTGTGGCCACATACACCAAGCCGCATACACCTAAGGTGGCGGGTTCAAATCCAGCCCGGGCCTGCCGAAACAACGATGGCTGCAACCAAAAAATACCCAGGCACTGTGGCAGGTGCCTGTGGTCCCAGCTACTTGGGAAGCTGAGGCAGGAGACTTGCTTGAGCCCAAGAGTTGGAGGTTGCTGTGAGCTGTGATGCCACAGCACTCTCTACCTAGGGGGATAGCTTGAGGCTCTGTCTCAAAAAAAAAAAAAAAAAAGAGGGGGTGTTGGCGATGTCAGGCTGAGTTTGAGGTACCTGGGGGACAGCTCAGCAGAACTGTTGGAGACTAGATATAAAGACTGAGTTGTCAACTCTGAGGTGATTACTGAGCCTGGAGGTTAGAGGACAGGAGGCTGTGTCAGAAAAGCCTGGAGGACAGCGGACGAGCAGGAGCTTACTGGGCCTCTGGCATCTGCTGAGGTGAGAGTTGCTGAACCCCTGGCTCAAACACTGGTATTAGGAAAACAAAACAAAACAAAACTGGTGTTTAAACATAAGGGACAGAGGCCTGATGGACACTTGAGAAAGAAAAGAGGAAACTGCTATGTCAACACCCATCAAACTCTTCTGAAGGTCATTCTGTCCATCAGTAATGATGAAACAGCGATATGAATGAATTCATTTCAGTTTTGGGTAAACTGTGCTTGTCCTCAGTAGCAGGCCTAGTGCAGGCTCAGGTGGGTCAGTGGCCCTGTAGGAGCACTGGAAACTGCTCCAGAGACTGAACAGGGGGCCGTGAAGCCCAGTTCTCTTGAGCCAGGAGGAGTGGGGATCTCTCTGCCCAAGGTGAGACTGTCTCCTCCTCATATCTTCTCTGTCAGGAAGGTCTCTTGAGACTCTGTGGTGCTCTTAACCCTTTTTTCTCTACCTAGCCCCCTAAGATGGCCACATACCAGGTGGTGGAACTGAGGATCCTGACTAACTGGGGCCACCCTGAGTACACCTGCATCTACCGCTTCAGGGTGCACGGGGAACCCGCCCACTAGCCCTGCTTTCTCCTGCCAGCTGCAGCGCCTAGAGTGGGTCAACACCCACCACTTCCTCCACACGCTTCATCAGCGCCCTGACTTCTGGGAATAAGAGCCAGGAGCTCCAGCTACATGGAGAGACAGCACCAGCAGCTCCTCTCACTCTTCCTGCCCCTCAGGCACTGGCGCAGTTACATATATAGCATGTGGGGCACAGGGAGGGTGAGAGGTGAGCCTGAAGGCCGTTGCCTACAGTGGGGAGGCATGTGAAGGAAGCAGGCGCCAAGGCTGTGGGCAACATGAGCTGCCCCCTCCCCTGGCAGTGAACTGAGGTCCTGGGAGGAAGGCACTCAGCACAGAGGAAGCACCTGGTGTCACGCTTCTGGGCTTTTCCAAAAGACTAATGCCATCAACCTAGGGACACATGAACCACAGGGTCCCTGAGGAGCTTCCATAGAAACCTGTATCTGTCCCAGGTATTAAGGGGGATGGGGGGCCTGGCTGCCTGTGTGGCTCTTGGGGCCAGGGCCAGCCCTGCTCCGCAGTAGGAGGAGTTGCTTTTTTCTCTGCTGATGTTGGAGCTAAAGCCCATTCTGCTCTCCACTCCTGCTAAGGACTGCTGTGCCTCAGAGCACACTTTCCACATTCTGTGGAAAGTGTGTAGAGAGCCCCAGGTATCCCACTTACATCTGGGATTAGCTGGTGGGGTAGCAGGGGACTCTCTGGGCTCTCGTGGTGGTCCAGTGGCAATGCTGATGGTGTCGTCCAGGGTATTGGGAGGGCTGTCTGCACTTGTGCACCCCCATCCAGTCAGGCCCTGATGTCAGGGCCCTACCCTCAGAGGCTCTTCCAGCTCTTGCTCAGATTGTCTCCTTTCTGGCTTGTTCTCTATGGGGACAGTTAGTTGGGGCTGGAGGAAGAGGCTGGTAGAAGTTGCCCTGAGTAGGAGGATGAGGAGGCCCTGCTGTATTATGTATATATTTTTCAAGGTCTGTTTTTTTAACTGAAAAGCTAAGGGCTTGATTCCTAGCCCCGTTCTGTGGGGCACTGGGTGACACTCAGTTCCTTTGTTTCTGGCCCCAGAGGGCTTGGGCCTGCACGGAACAGGCAGGAGGGCTGTGTGGACACATGCCCTTTGTTATAGGGCTGGGCCCCGAAGTGGCTCTAGAGCAGGTGGTGGCTATGTAGCAGCTGTCCCCATCCCTCCAGTGCTGGCCCTTACCCCATCCCACAACAGCCAGGTGGTTTTTTGCGCTCTCCTGTCACAAATGCTGCACTACTGGTTTTTAAGTTTTTTATCTCCAGATTCTAATTTATGCCTATGCAAAAAATAAACAATGCCCAGGATCAAGGGAATGTGGTTTTTATGTGGTCATCACACAGGGTACCCGCTCTTGGGAAAACCAGGGAATAGTCTTGGCCAAACTGATGTCCCACAGATTCCTAACGTCTAGAAACCCAGGACTTTCAGCTAAAGACCCAAGGAGGTCTACTCCGTGTTAGGACTTGGCAGGAGGAAGTATGGTGGCTGTATTAGCTGTCCCTAATACCCCATACTACAGGGGCAGCTTCCCTGTCCATCAGTGCCATTGAGCAGAGATAGTAAAAGCTATCCACTTACTAACAGGAGTTAGACATTCACTGCTCTGAATAGCTAGAATGCCAGCTCAGTGTGTATGGGGCGGGGGGTGGGGGAAGAGACATTCAGTCTAGAGGTGATTCCCTCGTGTACCCGAAGCCTCTCGTACTGACCATGGCACCTGGCCTGGGGCTGGTGTCCCTCATGTCTGAGAAGAGAGGCAGGCCAGCACTCTGGGAGGTCAGGGTGGGTGGACTGCCTGAGTGCACAGGTTGGAGACAGCCTCTGAAAATAGCCGGACATTGTGGCAAGCGCCTGTAGTCCCAGCTACTTG